TGCTCAGTCTCACAGCAGTTGCCAAGGCTGCCCTTGCAGTGCCGCAGTTCTTCTCTCAAAGTTTTGGGAAGCCAACTTTTAAAGCCCCAATAAAAGCCCACCGTAGCCTAATCTAGTTAATATGCATTTTTAAATATGTACAAATATTGTAAACCAAATAAGGTTTGTATGTACCCAGGATCAGCCACTAAGTACTTCAAATAGAGAGCCTGTCTCTTGTAGGTACCCAAATATTTACAGTGTGACTTGAGTAAGGAATTAGATACCCCACTCAGCCCTGCCAAATTAATTAATGGTCTTTTACACTTATTTAGGTAGATGTCTGATCTGGTGAAACCCTTAGAACACCCAGGGTCTGGATAGTGGCAGGCAAAAGCATCATGGAATACTTGTTATAAATTACCATTGCTTTGTTGAGATAGCCAGCAACATCCCACTGACCTGCAGGGTTAAAGAACAAAGATTTAACAGGGAAAATAAACCTAAACCCTGTCAAAACCAGACATTTAAAAAGGAGAAGGTGGTGATGGTTCTTATTTTGGTGCAAAGGTGAAGGCTGGGCTGGGAAGATGAGAGTGGCCTGGGTGGGTTACTGCCCAAATGCCTCTTGCCTTCCTCTCCTTCCACTTTTTGATGAGTGGCCAGTGAAAGCTTATCCCCTTTTTAATTTTTTTTTCCTCCTATTAAATCTGCACAAGTGCTAACTTTTCAAAGACTCTGAGATTCAAAGTGCTGTACCCAACACAGAGCCCTTTTTTCTCCTGCCTTTGATTTTTATGCACATTTCAAGCTGGTCAGAGAGTACACGGGGGTTTTGTTTAGGCTTGGTGCTGGGGTTTTAGCTTTCAAGCTGCCAGCCTTCCCAGGATTATTGCCTATTAACTGCCTCTTCATAAAGGTGCTGAGCAAAGAAAGGAATATTTTTTCCTTGGTGCTAGCCTTCCAAACTCGATTGGCTTTATTAAATGGAAAGACAAATAAATTTAAACCCTGCTCTGAAATACCTTAGCGCAGGACACCAGCAGTTAGGGGTCACCAAGTCACTTGGACTTCCTCCCAACAAAAGCAACATCATTTTTCAATGTCCAGCCCCACAGCATCCTGCAGTGCCTCACACAATTCCTCAGTGTCCACACCTGCTCCGTGCCACTCGGAGCAGGGCTGAGCCTGTTTGGATGGGGCAGGATCAGTCCCCAAGGGAATTCTGTTATGGTTTGGAGCCATGTTTGATCTCTTACAGCAGAACTGGATAAAAGCTTGTGCTTGGGGTTTCCTTGTTCTGTTGTTAAAGCAGAAAATCCCTGTTGTACAAGGAGAAGAAACTTTTCTTCACCTTGTGAAGGATGTTACAGGTCAGAAGGTAATTTCAGCACTGTTTACCTTTATTGCATTGGAAGAAGCAAATCCCTTTGTTTTATACTTTTAATTTCCCATGACATGAGGTAGCAGCCCTTCTCTGGTTGCACAGCTCCCTTTGGTTGTGCCAGTGTTGTGTCCATGCTTTAGGACATGGTCCACAGGCTTCTGTTGTCCATATAGAAAATAATGGCCTCATATCCTCCTTAATACCAGTATTTCCATTTCTCAGCATGGAAATACTGGTTTTAAGGAGGTTGTGAGGCTACTTTCTGCAGTATTCCTAAAGATTTTGCAGTTGGTCTGCACATGACAGAATGACCAGACAGTACCATTTTTGGAGAAAAGTGAGCATCCCCAAAATCAGTGTCATTTTTCTGCCTGCCCTGTACATCTGTCATTCACTTCAGTGCAAGTCACTGTTTCCTGAAGTGAACCTCTTGTATCCTCAATAGTTTGGTACCGTGTGTAAGGATGGGAAGTGGTGGAGGTCAAAGACTCAACACCTTTATGGGGTTCAGCTGTTGAATCTATAGACCTGCAGCCAGGGATGCACACTCTGAATTCCCTGTTGAAATGCTGACTCAGAGAGGCAGACTGGGGCAGGAGAGGTGATGAGGACAGATGTTCCATACTCACAGTACAGCCCTACTCTGCTTGCTTTCCATTTCCAAGGTGTGTGGGCTGTAAGCCCCACTTCTGGATCCTTTTGCCTCGGGCAGATCTCCTAGTGTGAATAATGTCTTGTGGTGTTTTGTTTGAGGGATCCCAAAGGCATCTCTCCCTGTGTTTAATTTTCTGTCTCCTTCCAGATTTCCCTGTGTAATGTTTTTTTCTGCAGAGCCCATGCTCTGCCAGCCTTTTGGAACCACCACAGGTTTCTCCATGCTGGAACCACCTTGGCAAAAAAAATGTGAGTGGTGACTTAGTCCCTCAGACAGCCCATCCTCCAAGAAATAACCTCGTGGAAAAAGAGCTGTCTTGAGCACAGTTTATTGTTTGCCATGGGCTGGGGTCTTCCATTCCTTGGGTGAAAGAGCAGCCTCTCACCCAGCTCTCAAAATCAAAGGCATGTTATGTCTTCTAAGTAATATTCGCTCAGTTATAGGGAGTGTGTTTATGTTTCTCATGTTAAAAAAAGGGGAGGGGAAGGAAAAAAAAAAAAAGGGAATCTGAGGTTAGTGTTTTGCTGGAAAAATATCAAGACTTGATTGGCAATATCCCACTAAACCTCAAGTTTGTAGGAGAGAAAACAAACCCATTGGATTTTCCAAACTATGCCTATGTGCTTTATGAAAATGTGTCCCATATAGGTCACTTACACTCTTATTATAGCTGTGGCAAGTGTACATATAATTGAAACACGGAAATACTACCCCAAGCTGCTCAATGAATGAAGGAGAAACAAATCTTTATTATTCCTGGGTTCACAGAATATATAGGAACACTATTGTCTCTCTCTTTTTTTTAATTCTATTTTTTTAATTTATTTTTTTTTTAGGGCCGGTTTTAGCTTTCAGATGTATTTTATTGTCTGTGGGAACATGTGTTTTACAGACCTGTCATGTGAAAGCCATTAGCAAGAGGAACTGGAGGAGTAACAATGAGCCACGTAACCGTGGTGTGTCTGCTCCCCGAGTTCAGCCGGATCGCGCCCGGCGACGTTTGCGCCTCTTCCCTGCCATTCCTCACCGGGAAACCTAAGGATTTTTTAAGGATTTTTGAAGTGACCCATTAAAAAGGGATTGCTGGCATCACAGGCAGGCTTCTGGGGCCAAGCTGGCTGGGCATCAAAATGGTTAAATTGTGGAATGAAGATCAGCTGGATTCACACGAGATGTCCGGTTTTATTTACCAAATCTGAGCGGGGCAGGCAGTTCTGGAGCTGTTCCTCGCTGGTTCACACATGTGGTGGAAACTGTCCCGCCTTGCCAAGCAGATCAGAGCCCAGAACTTGAAATTAACCCATTTCCAGAGTTTTTGAGAGGATCTGAAAGTGGCCCTGAGTGGTGGCCTAGATCACTATGGAGTACCTGAAAATTTCACTTCAGTATGTGTTGTCCCTGCTCACAGGCAATGGAGTTTTTCCTTAAGACTAACAAAACCCTGTAGTAATCCTGGTTTAGGCAAACCCATTAACATATAGGAAAAGCAGCCAAAGGGGATTGCGCAAAGTGAAATCCAGAGTGGTTCATGTGGAGAACACGGGGAACATTATTTTGGTGACACTTCTGAACAACGTGCATGGTGCCCTGGCTAATCACATCTAGCAGGTGATGTTCACTACAAATGTGCTGTGGACAGCTTTGGGTCAGACCCAACAGCGCTTCATTTTTTATTTATTATTTTTATTCATTTTAGAAGGAAAAACCCTCTGATGTCTTTGACTGCTAGCTGTGTAAACAAACCCACAGATACTTAAGCCAGTTAGTGGTCGACAGGTATTCCCTAATGCCTTCTGTAGGATCTGGGTGTGAGACCTGTTGTCTTGGCCCAAGGACAGCTGGAACCACTGTGCATTTGTTTTTCCCCTTACCTGGGTTTCGCTCTGCAAGTGGGACGAGGGTTTCCTGTGCCTTGTGGCTTGTGATTTACTCTGAACATGGGTTTCAGGGAATTTGGGGCTTGGTTTTGTGGGGATGTAGTGCTCCTCTGGATGATGGGCTTGACAGCCATCATGGATGGGGAAACTGAGGCAAAGGGAAGGAGGGTGCCCTGCGCAACGTGACATTGTGGTTGGGAAACGCCCCTCTAGGTTTGAGGCAGTGCTGTGTTTGTCTGAAAAACTTAAAAAAATGTGGAGTTATGGACGTGCCACAATTTCCAGGTGTGCCCCCCATAATGTGTGTCCTAACCCCATGGTCTTGAGCAGATCTGCTTCCTGCCTGGTGCAAAGATCCAACCAAGCTGTCCAGACACAGGAATCCTGCACAGAGGGTTCCCAGATAGTATTTAAAACCCAGAGTTCACGTGGCTTTGTTGTGATTGAAGGTGAACAGGCTCGGATGGGAGTTCATCAGCTTTTGTGAGTGCTCCGGTCCTTGCATGGATGTGTGTCCCACAGCTGCCCAAAGCACATGGTTGGTGCAATAGTAGGTACAAACAGGAAACTGTCAATACACCCTGCAAATACAAAGAGGAGTGAGCCAAGGAAGGCTTCAAAGGCAGGGAAGTGATGGGGATGGAGAATGGCTGTCCAGGGAGGAGAGGAGCCCTGTGGATACTCGATCCTGTGTTTGTTTGCACAGCTCTGGGCTGCTCTGCCCGGCGCACTCGGAGGAGCATCGCGCCCTCCCCGGAGGAAAGGGCCAGATTGGCTTTCATGGCCTTTTGCAGAGGGATTGCTCCAGGGGTCTGTTCCTGTAAGTTAATATTTGCAGAGCACAGGGCTTAACTGGAACCAGGCTGCGCAGACATCTGATAACCATAACAGAGGAGATGCTTTTTCCCTGCAAGAGCAGCTTGGAAAAACAAATCCCAATGCTATTCCCTTTGGAAAGATAACAATATGGAAAGAAAAGCACCAGGAACGGTGATGCGTGGATTGCAAGGGTTTTTCTAGCTAAATCTTGGGGGGGTTTTTTGTGAACTGCTTGGTTTTGCCTGTATTGCTGATGGGTTTGGTTGTCTCCTTTTCTTTGTAGCCGGGTTGCCTTTCCTTATCATTGAGACAAGCACAATCCAGCCCTACCAGAGGGGCTTCTACTGCGACGACGACAGCATCAGGTACCCGCAGAAGAACGTGGAAACCATCAACGACGCGGTGCTGTGTGCTGCAGGCATCCTCATCGCCATCCTCGCGGTGAGTCCCACCTCCAAACCTCCTCCTCTGTCCCAGCAGGGGCTTTTTGGCACCTCTTTGTCCTGCTAATGCTGCCAGGGTGTCTACCGGAGCACATCTCCTCTGCGGATTGTTTGACTTTTGTAAGCGTGGAGTTGCAAATATTTACAAATGAAAGCTTGTAATGAGAGGAATGAGATTACTCTTGAAGCCTGTAAACAGGCCCAAAGCTGTTTGGGCAAGTCTGTGAGCTTCACAAGAACTTTTCCACCCTCCAGTAGAGAGTTCAGAGTAGAGGCAAAAACACTCGAGTGTCAGTAAGGACTTGGCATGGTTTGTCACTATTCAAATAACTTGTGGTATTGGCCTATTTTATAAGGTTTAACAAACAAAGAAAGGATACATCTTTTCAGCTAACTAGTGCCTGGAAAATTTAACAGGTTAGTGTTAGGTTTTTAAGAGATTGCATATTACAGCTGTTTTTAAAAGACAATTAAAACCTTCCATGGGGAGCATGTTCCCAGGGTCCTCACTTTAAAATGTAGTTAATGTCCCACCTTCCCAATGCCTCTTCATTCTCCTTCTGCCAGTTTTTCTAGAGCTGTGCTAGGAAATGATTGCATGGCAAGAGCTTTATTTGTCAGCCAAAAAGCTGAACTCAGCCCATGAGTTGAGCCTCCTGATGCCCATGTGTGCCTGGTCTGGGGCAGAAGACAAGAGCTGTCTCCAGGTTGTTGCTTAAACACTTCCAGCTAAGATGAAATTCCCCTATGAAAAGTACCTACATTTTTTTCCTTCTCACCTGCTGCCAGAACAGCTCAGGTGCTTTCCCAGAAGTGCCACCTTCCTCTTGCTCCTTCAGCTGGGAGGGACGGAGATGGACAAGTCAGAAGCACTTGTTCTCCTTTCACCTTTCCTTTCATGGGCAATAGGTATTTTAGGATGGCACAGTGCCTGCTTTGATAATACTCCATCCTCAGCCTTGTGTGATGTGAATAACTCCATCATTTTCTCATCTCTCCATCATTTTCTCATCTCTCCATCATTCCCTGACCACATACACACACTGCAGCAAAGCAGGTCCCCAAAATTGCCCTGTCCCTCTGCCCCCTCCCTCCCCAAAACAAGCCCAAAAGGTGCCAGGCCCCCAATTCTATAAACACAGCAGAATTTCCCCCTGCAGGTGAATGACCCCTGAGTGTGGAAAAGCCATAAAAATGAAATGAAAAAGCCTCTCATTTTCGCATTACTGCCGGAGCTATCGGCACGCCAGCTCCATGCAGAGTGTGCTTCTGATCCCTAATGAGGCAGTGGCAAATACAGGAGTTGGAACAGAAACTGGAAACATAATCAGCTGCCTGTGTGATCCATCAACTCTCTACCACGAAATAGCAGGTCAATTAAAAGAGAATGAAAATCCCCAAAGAATTGGATGTTTCTGCCCTGGTTTCACTGTGCCCACAACAAATGTAACTTAATAAGGTAAATTCAAAAGCTCAGTTATTTGCTGTTGAGTGACACAAATGGCTAACGAGGAACTGAAGCAACAGATTTCTTTGCTATGGCAGCCTGCATGGAAAATTCAAGTCAGCCTGACCTCCTTTTTCAGATGTAACCCAGATACCAGAATTACTGTAGCATAATAGGAATTCCTTCCAAATCCACAGAGCACTGAGTGCGCTCCTTTGGAAGGCAGGGCAGTGGTCATGAGCACTTCCAGGGAGCTGGCTTTTGGGATGGAGCAGCCAAAATTCCACACCCTCGCTTCACGTGGCGTCACAGGCAGTCTAGCATGGGGTAAAAAGGTCCAGGTCATGTTTTAAGTGGCTTGAGGACACCCAGAGAGTTTGTTAAGTAAACGGCAGAGGAGAGACCTTTGCTTCCTTCAGGATGGGAGAGGACATGCATTTGGTTTTAATATCTGTGTATTTACTGACTTCGGGCAAATTTCCATGCAGATGGCACTGGAGAGGCTTGTGCCCCTGGCCTGTGCACTCTCACCTCTCTCCTGGCTGCTCTTGGGGCTAGAAGGTGGTTGATGTGATGTTGGTGGTCTCTTGGATGGTGGGAAGGGGAAGGTGACACTCCTGAGCTTTGTAGGGGCACCCCTGCTGCGGTACCATGTCCCCACACGTGATAGGTCTTAAAGGGCTATGAAAAATTCCTAATTAAATTAATTTGCTAGGTGATCTAAGTGACTCACCTGGATTAGCTGGCTGTTTTACAATTCAAGGTGATATGCTGCAATGTGATTAGCACAGAGAATGTTACGCCAAAAGCAAGTGGCTAGAAAAGCTCTAAAAGTAATTACAGGCTAATTGGATTGCTGGTGATAGCTTATAATAACAATAAAATGGACTTGACAACTGAAAGTCTGCAAAAAGCATTCACAGACAGAAAAATTTGATACTGGCTTCTCTCTAATGACCAGCCTTTTAAAATATGTGTGCCAGGGAATTGTGCCCATCACCTGGGAATGGCACATGTCCCATGTGGATGGCTCGCCAGGAGTTCAAGGCATGAGAAGCAGCTTGATATCTTTAAAACTTGTTTTCTTTTCAGGATGTCCTTCCAGTCTGTGCACATCTGTGCTGCATTAGTTTTTCACCGTCCTGCTTTATCTGGGACAGCACTGCCAAAAAAACCAAGTTTACCCAATTTTTAGCTACTCATTAAGTTGATCCATGGCTTTCACTAGCTGGGGAGGGTTCCTGGGTACCCAGCAGCATTTTAGTGAGGGAGTGAAGGCTCCAATTTACAATCTGCTACATGTGTGCAATTACCTAGACCACCAACGGTGAGAGAGAAATATTAATCCCCCGACTTTTGTTGGTCCCTGTTTAAAATGGTCACATGCCTTTCCCCAGGCCAAGAGCCTCAGGTTTGAGTGGATCTGTTTGTGAGTTTGCAGTAATGCCACATCTCCTAGTGTCAGATATCATCCTTAATTTGTCTGGTCTTCCCTCTGTGAAAGCCATGAGTTTTGAGCCTCAGAGCTATGCTTCTTGTGAATTTAGGCTTTTGGGAGTGCAGGAGCCTCTGTGTCCATCCAGGACAGCCTCCCTCAGCAGGCCTCACGCCAGCAGATTTCCTGTGCTGGAATGGGGTTCAAAATGGAGATAAACCATGGTCTTTGGAGACTGTGAGGATTAAAATGATGCAGCTCCCTAAACAAGCCTTGGTCACAACCAGATTTCCAAGAGGAAATCTCAGCTGTGACGTTTAAACCCCAAACGGTGGTGCAGCCAGTCAGAGAATTTCTGTGCATGGTAGCAGAGCCTGCTCTAGCTTGGCATTTATTTTCTGTTATTACAGTTGTATCTCTCTTTGATAAAGCCTGCTTAGCTGCAATTTCAGCTGCCTTAGGTCAACCTTTGTTTTTCCAAGCCCCGGTACGTGTGAGTTCAAACAATGATACAGCTTCAACTCTTCTTAGTCTAATTGCTATACTTTTCCAGTTTATTAGTTTCCAAAGGTTGTGCCAAGCTTTTAAAAAAGGTAGGCAGGGGAGCCTCGTCTCCTGCTTATGGCTGGCAGGCTGCCACGCCAGGAGGAATATTGCTGGCTGCTCCAGAAAGGGATTAACATGAAGGCATTTTTCTTGACAGTTAATTTTACATATCACAGTCCCCGTGACTGCAGAGAGGCAGGGACAAGGGGGCATCCAAAAAAAAAAAAAAACCAACAAACCCCACAAAACCTCTGCTTCGATTTATTACTCAGGTATAAAAACATTTAGAGTAATGAATGAAATCCTAAAGCTGTAAATCTGGAGCCTAAAATTTAGGTGTGTAGCGTGACGGAGAACAATTTAAATCTTTGGCGCTTTGGGAGAGGTGAGACATTTGGACTTCATTTCACAGCCTGATTTTCATTAACCTGCCTTTAAAGAGCCATGAGTGTGAGAAGTTGGATCCTCTGGTCACTGACAGTGATTTATGGCAATACTGCCAAACCTCAGCACCCCTGACACAAGAAAAACATAATCTGCTGCCATTCAAGACACCTTGAAATGCCCCAAAATAGCTGGACATTTTGGAGGCCTTGAGAGGTGTGAATTGGGTCTGCTGGCAACAAGTTTTGGGCCAGAATCTGAAAAATTTGGGGCTTTCTGTTTCTTTCCTTGTTGTGTTAATGATTTTAAGAGAGGAAGATAAGCAGGATGTAGGTTTATTTTCCTCCAAAATCAGTTTGATAAGAGGGTAGTGGGTCTGGCCTCTCCTTCCCAACACGCGCTAATTCTTTATCTGGTTTATGTCAATTTTCTTTTCCCACTGTGCTGGGGTGTTACTTCACTTCAGTAAAGATATGCCAGTGTGCTAACCCAAAATTTACTCTTTTGTTTTGTTTATTGGATTTTTCCATAAACAACATGCTGAGCACTGGGAGGGACAAGGGGTAGGATGGAGAGATACTGGGCCATGACTTTTCCTTCCTCACTCCAGAAGCAGATTCCTGGTTTGAGATCCCAGAGCTGTCTCAGCCCTGCATTCACACCCAGCCCTGCTTTTGCCTGTTGGAGCCCTGGGTGCTGAGAATTTTAAACTTTCTGTGCTGAAAGGCACAGACCCTCAAGAGAATACTGTATTTGAGGCTGTGGAGAAGGCTTCTAAAATTGAATGATAGAACTGGGATTTGGGGTGTGTTGTTTGAATAGGAGTGTGTAATGTCACAGAGTGGAAAACTTAGAGTTTAAGGTTTTAGAATATAGCAATATGTATGCGGAAAGATGGAGGTTTTAGGGTGGTGGCTGGTCCTTTGTCTTTGCCTTCTTCTTCAAGGGTTTGGGTGGTGTTTTGTAATTGGACAGAAAAGTCCATATTGCAGGACATGAAGGATTTGTTTGGATTAAAAATAAAAATAATCTAGGTGTCATTTCTTAATTGGGTAGTTTAGCCTTAAAAGATCTTGTAGAGAAAGATAGCCATTTTTTAGAATGCTGTAGAACTCACAACTTGTAAGACAATAATATAGATAAGAAGTAATGCACATTTGAGCCAGAATACAAAATACCATCTCCAGATAGATCTTCAATCCATCAATCAATACAAATACCATTTCCACATGAATGGCTTCAATCCCAACCTTGACAGAGGCAGAAAGGAAGTTAAAGAATTGACATTTGCCCAGCGTTTTTCCTGCTCTCTGACCTCTCTGTTGTGCTTCCCCCACAGATTATAACGGGAGAGCTCTACCGCATCCACTACCTGAAGGAGAAATCCCGCTCCTTCATCCAGAACCCCTACGTGGCAGCTCTCTACAAGCAAGTGGGCTGCTTTGTTTTTGGCTGTGCCATCAGCCAGTCCTTCACAGACATTGCCAAAGTGTCCGTCGGGCGCTTGCGGCCGCATTTCCTGGCGGTTTGTGACTTGGATTTCTCCACCATCAACTGCGCCAAGGGAGTTTACATCCAGAACTACACCTGCAGGGGAAGTGACAGCAGGGTGCAGGAAGCCAGGTGAGAGCCCCTGGCAGCAGAGCCAAGGGTTGCTGACACTAAATGTGGCTTGGGTTTCTCTGTCTGCAATAGAGGATGTGAATCTGAAACTGAGAGTGGGGTTAGTTTGGATGTTAGGATGAAATTCTTCCCTGTGAGGGTGGCAAGGCACGGGGTGGATTTCCCAGAGAAGCTGTGGATGGATGCCCTATTCCTAGAAGGTCATCTTAGATGGGGATCTAAACAACCTGGTCTAGTGGAAGCTGTCCCTACCCATAGCAGGGGGGTGGAACGAGCTGGTCTTTGATGTCCCTTGCAGCACAAGCCATTCTAGGATTCTTTGAAATGCTGCTTTTTCTGCAAAGGCCATAAATCCATTTTCCAGTGGGCAGCAGTTTCCCTTGGGAAGTGTGGCACTCAGCTGAACAATATTTCTTTTCCTTTCTCTTTACTCCTACACTATTGTTTCCCTGAGCTGCTGCTCTCTGTGGGAATTCACCCCCAGAGCTGAGCTCATGGTGAGCAGCCTGAGCTGTCCCGTGTGTGACAGCAGAGCTTCTCCTCAGGAAAGGCTCCACCACACAGGCAGGGCTGCCAGTGCCTCCCCTTGGAGCTCTACCACATCCATCAGATGCCCAATCTTGACTTTGCCAAGGGCACATTCCTCATGCTGCAATCAGGCTTCTGGAGAAGTTGCTCTATTCTCATGTCTTCAGGGTTTCCCGGTTATTTGAGGCGAGATGATGAGTTATTGGGTTATCCTGGAAACAACTGCTGTCCCCTGAGTAGGCCAGGAAGGGACAAACAATGCAAGCATCCTGTCCATCCGTTTGCTTTCTGCCTCAGCAGCAGGCAGGGCGGATAACAGGGGTTTTATAACCAAAGCATTGGGGGTTGTGAGTCCCTCTGCTGTGGCACCCTCAGATGCCAAATCACCATGTTGTAGGGAGAATTGTGATATTGAGGATTGTGCTGGCTGGTTCTGAGCACCTGCTTTGTTTTGCAGGAAATCCTTCTTCTCTGGGCACGCGTCCTTCTCCCTGTACACCATGCTGTACTTGGTGGTAAGTGAAATAATTGATCCCCCATCCCACATTCCATAGCAGTAATGGCAGGATGAGCATTGGACATGGGAAGTTGGTTGGAAAAGAAGAGTCTGAGCTGTTGGTGGGAGGATCCACCCTCAGCTGCTGTGGTGTTTTTTAGGATAGAGACTCTGGGATGATAGCTGAGCTCTGTGTGTGCAGCTTTGGGATGCGGCCAAGGTGGCAATTAAATCCAAATCCTGCTGCATTTGTGGATGGCCTGTTTGCACACTGAGGAGAGTTTGGAGGGAGCCAGAGTGTTTCATGGATGGAGGGGCAGGATGTGCTGCGTGGCCATGTCGGGAGGTGATGCCTGGTTCCGAAATGTGCCAGCAGAGCAGGTGGAGCAGCCTCTGCCCGCCTGGTTCCGGAGGGGAGGGCTGGGACTTGTTTTCCTTTGTCAGTGGGGAATGGCTCTGCCCTTCCTGCGCCTGGGCTGGGGCCGGGGTGGCTGCCAAGGTGCTTCCTGCCAGGACTGCAGGAGGCAGCGCTGCCCACACGGGCTGGACACACACACACACACCCTTCTGAGGGATTTGTGCCTGGTTTTCCTCTTTTCTGAGTTATTTATTTCATAAAAAATCAAGTTTTGTGTTGCTTTTAAGATTTTTGCTCCTCCTCCATCCCTGGTAATCCCGGATTTGCAAGCAGAGGAACAGCACTGCGCTGATAAAAACATGAAACATGAGCTTTTATCTACCAGCAGTGCTCCCCCCATCCCTTACCCTCTGGAAAGATAAGTGGCCACTGCTCCCTCCTGCCTTTTCAGCCTTGGATCCCCTTCCCTGTGAGCAACCCCTGTAACTGAATCACTGGGCTTTCCAGGCAGCTGTGGGCGGCGTATTAAATTCTTTCTTTGTTTTCCCTCTTATTTTGTTCTTGGAAAACTTCTGAATTTCTCCAGCAGACATTTTGGCCGTTTCCTCCCAGCTATTACAATGAAGAGCTGCCTTGGTGATGCTTCACAGGAGGCTCAGCCTATCATAAAGCTCTCTGAGCTGAGTTTGGAAGCCATTGCTCACAAGGGCAGTCATTTATTTCTGGGGAGGTCTCTGGGCAGTCAGATAAGTCAGCCCTGAGGTTTTTTCAAGCCCAGCATCTGGCAACAGCAAGGACTGCCAGTCCTTATTAGGGTGATGATGGCTTCTCTACTAGGGCTTGACCCATTTGCTGCAGGTTGTTGGACAAACTTTCTTTTTTCGTGTGTTTTCTGTAATTCCAGCACTTTTGGAGCAGGTGAGAAGCAAATGGGAATAGAGAGCTCAGGGGACAGAGACCCCAAAACTGCAGAGTGCATTCCAAGTTCCCACAGGATGCACAGAAAACCTGCAGGGCTCATTTCCCATTGCTGCTTTGCACCAGTGCCTGCTGCCTGATGTTGTTTTTAACTTTGCAGCAGGCTTTAGAAGTGGTGTTTAGCTCCTGTGTGGTGCCTCAGAGCACTGAGACACTTCTGGTCTCTCTTTGCTGCCCTTCCCAGTCCCCATATGGCAGCACTTGAGCTGTCAGCACTCACCAGACTCTGCCCCACACTCCCACACCCCCCAGGACAACAGGCTGTTCCACTTACCCCTCTCTATGCAGGGGACAATCCCTTTAAAAACTATTTTATTTTTAATTTTCACCTGTCTCAAAACTGTGATATGACTGGTAGCAGACTCTGCCTGACCAGCTGTCCAGTTGCCTTGTGCTCTAAGAAGTCAGGAAAAATTACATCAAGTGTTTGGTGATAAATTGAAGGGAGAAAAAGGCAACTTGAGACAAGACAGGTGAAGCAACAATCTTAAGGCTCTCTTCCACCTAAATGATCCAGTGATTCCAACTTGTCTAGCAGCACCCTCCTCTCCATCACTCCAGTTCCCTGGTCACTGCCAGAGCCTGACAGAGAAATCTCACAGAAAAAGAGAGGTAGAAAATCTGACACATTAGGGAGCCTGATAATATAAAAAAATAATTACAAGAAATAGGAGATTATAGTAAGCCAGAGGGATTTTATTTGATGCAAGATAAACCCTGCTGTCTTGCCCACCTCAATGAATGAGTTGTGGTTTTGAAAGCCTGCTTAGATACGTGGCATCCACCATGCCAGTGCCTTCAGGAGGTGTGTTGGATGGGTTTAATCAGGGGACCATCTCAATCAAGACAAAATGATTGATTGACTGTTCCTGGGAAGCGAGGGCTGTGCTGCAGCAGGTCCTGCCTACACTTTGGATATCAGGAGTGTGCCAGGAGCTGCTGCAGAGCTGGGGGATCTGTGGGGCTGAGCGTGTCCTGCAGAGGCCTGGCAGGTCAGCGGTGTCCCGAGCGTGTTCCTGATTGAACAATACTTCATATTTCAAGGATAAGTCACTTCCTGCCTTTCCTGGCGTTCCCTGGCTTCACTCTCGGAGCCCATTCTGAATTAAAATGTTTTCAAGTTGGCTTCACCTGGTGGAGACGGGTGCCAGAAAATTCCAGTCATGCTGTGAGAAGATCCCTGGATTCCCACACACCCTTCAGGGCTTTGCCTGCAGCCTGGGGCTGGATTTGTCCAGATATTTGGTGAGCAGTGGCTGAGTGACCACAGCTTCCCCATTTCCTGGCACAGCAGCAGAGCCCTGTGCTATCCATGGGCTCCTGGCAGGAAAACACTCATAGATGCCAAGCCCTGGAGGGCTTTGAGGGAAAAGTCCCAGGGAAAGGCACTTGCAACACAGTGCAATCCCCTGGGATTTGGTTCTAAATGCTGACACCTCAGGGCTAAGTTTCTCGCAGCCTTATTGTCACCAGGAATACTCAATTAACATCAGGCCTTTGTATAAAAAATTTAAAAGGGGAAATAACTCTTGGGTAATCCTCTTTGTCCTAATTTTCCTTGCTTTGTTACCCCTTGGCTGAGCGAGCTGTAATACGTATTTATAGCAGGCTGAGGGAAGAGGAGGTATGGAACAGCTTATTCCATGCAGCCCTCTGGAGCTGACCCGCACCTCTTTGTCTTGTTTCTGTGGATGTGGGGGAGTCTTTGCAGGGAGCAATGGATGCTTTCCACTCCCCTGGAGCATGTGACACCATAATGCTGGTTTTTTGGCATCGTGAAGTTGCCTGAAATCACACAAAGGGCGCAGAAAAGCTAAATTTAAATATCAGGAAAGCTGAATTAGTATCCTTCAGCAACATTGGCTGATTCTGGATAAAATGCAAGCAAACCTTGTGTATTTAATATGTGTCAGTGGGTGAGGCAGAAGGCTTCAGAATGGGTTGTGGTGAGTTCTGCTGGTGTAAATGGAAAATGAGAGATGGAGCTGGGTTTATGTTTTGGGGGAATGTGAGGATGGAGAAAGTGCCCTGGTACAGCTGAGCAGTGATGTGCCCTTGTGAAGGAGCCTCTGTGGTGGTTGTGGACTTGGAGTTGAGTTTAGTGGTGACCTAAGGAAGAGAATAAAATGGAATTACATCAGAGGCCAAGGCTGAGCTGTGAAGTGAGCTGCTGAGGCTATTTCTGATGGGGTGAGAGGGTGCCGTGCACTCAGCAAAGGCAGGGAAGAGGCAAACAGCACACGATGAGAGGTCTTTGCTCATCTCTTGTCCTTCCCTTGTGGCCAGCTTGGTGCTAAAAGCCAAATTGTGCATTCCCCAGCCTCCAGCTGGCTTTGTCCAGCCAGGGCAGTGCATTACAGTGGGATGAGTTTGGGCTGGGGAGGTTTTGGCCCTGTAGCACTTTGGGTACCTCTCTGCTTGCAGATGGGGCTGGAGGAGGAATGGTGCAGGAGTGGAGAAGGAGATCACTTGGGGTCAGACAGCCAGGAACAAGCCCATCTGTTTCCCAGAAGGAAACTCCAGGTGTGCCTGAGGGGGTGATGGAGTCCAGCCCTGCAGCAGGAGAGCATGAAGGGATTTCTGGAGAGCAGAAAGCCCCGGGAGGCTGGAGGTGCTGCCCTGAGCCTGTGTCCCCTGCCAGCTCCTCCTGGCTTTGCTCAGAGGCTGTGTGTGGCTGTGGGCACTCACCAGCAGCACTGTGGAAGTCCCCTGGCACAGGAAGAGTGATGTGACATCCCTCAAGCCATGTGCTTTGTGGTATCCCAGCCTCTGCCAGGAGACAGCGGATGGGAACTCCAAATCACTCCCACTCTGTGTGATCCCATTTCTCCCACCCTTGCTCCTGTTGGTGCTCCTGGGTTTTGCTGCCCTGTGATAATCTGTGGTGGAAATAACCCTGGTTGTGGTCTTGCTCTTCCACCCCCTCCTGGGAAGGGCTCCATTCCAGCTCCACATTCCCATCCAAATCTGTCAGTCTGTAGCAGGCAGCATTTCAGATTTGCTCCCAGGAGAAAAAAAAACAACAAACCAACCAAATGAAAAAACCCCACCAAAACAGCAAAAGCACCTTCATAAGCAGATTTTCAGATAAATTTCCAGGAACTTCCCATTTCTTGGTAATAACACTAATTCCTGTATTAGGGAAATTCTGATCCTTTCAGCCCCTAAATTCTACTTTCACTTCTTGACCTTGTCCTGTTAACTGGGTTTTTCTTTCATACTCAGGGCAGAGGCAAAGTTTGGAGCACCCCAGGTCTTACCTTGAAAGTATTTAGGGGATCCTCGTGTTTGAGAGCAGCTTTTGTAACACTGCATGCTCATAAAATGCCTGTGGAATAGGAGAAGTGCTGTTATGCTCTTTTTTTTGTCCTTATGAATGGGGAATAAAGAGCAATTTTTCCGTGACCTTTATTGTGGCAGCAAAAGGAACTCAGTTGAGCTTCTCACAGTGTTGTTGCAGTGTCTGAGGGGCACAGGACTAAACCTGTGGGCTTTGGTTCTCCAAGATACACAGGTGTGGGTGTGAGGGGACTTGGGGGACACCCAGAACACCCCCTATGGTGCCACACTGCTTTTTGCTCCTTTTCCAGGGCTGAAGATTGCGCATGAGGGACACAGTTCAGCCCCAGAAATGCCTACTTTATTGTGTCTTCAAACTTGCTGTTTGCTTTTTTTTGCTAATTTTTAATTGATGCATTGCATTCTCACCTCTAGATGACTTTTCTAGTCCAGGTTTGGGGTGGAAAGATTTGAGATGTCCAGACTGTGCAAAAGTGGCAAATGCCAGATTATACAGCAGCAAATTTCCTTCTTAAGTGATTTGATGGGACAAAGACAGAAAATTAAAATAAGACATCAGGTTTCAAGTCTTCCTGGTAGAACTGAGAGTGATGGTTTATAATATGTAGTACTTGGAGCTATTTTTGCTCTGCAGCAGCAGCAGCACACTGGATCCTGAGTTTTGCACTGTCACCTGGGCTGAGTTGAGGCTCTTGAACATGAAAACGGAATCATGGAATGGTTTGGGGTGGAATGGACTGTGGTGTGGGGTGTAGGATGTGCTCCATGGGGCTGTGGCTCCCTTCCCAGGCTTGGGCTGGTTTGTAGATATATTCCCCAGAATCACCATGTGCATTAGCCAGCACTGAGCTGTTCTGGTGCTGCTCCCTTCCATGTTAATTGGCTAACAATCTGGATAATTTGGAGCATCTGCTCCATTCAGACAATGGGATGTTTCATTTCTTCTGAAGAGCCCAGTGTGTGTTCTTTCCAAAAAGGGGCAGATATAGTGTTTATGCAACAGCCAAACATACTGAATTGACCAAAATGATGCTTCCCCCTTATCAGCTTCCCAGTTAGCTCTGTTTTTAGAGGTCATTTTATGTTTTTATGTTGTCATTATTTGTGGTTTCAGTGAACCCAGTGAGAGCTTCATCCCCTTTCATATCAAGGTGGTGCAAATTGCTCTGGGTGTGTAAAAGGGATCATAAATGGGGAGTACATCCCTTTGCATCCCTCTGATGTAGCAGAGCCCCTTGAGGAACATGGGGTCTGACTCCAGTGCTGCATTTTGGAGCAGAAATGAGGAGTACACCCCTTTGCAGCCCTCTGATGGAGCAGAGCCCCTTGAAGGATACAGGGTCTGACTACAGTGCTGCTGCATTTAGGAGCAGAAATGGGGAGTAAACCCCTTGAAGGACACAGGGTCTGACTCCAGTGCTACATTTAGGATCATAAATTGGGAGTAAACCCCTTTGCAGCCACGGGGTCTGACTCCATTGCTGCATTCAGGAGCAGGCAGAGCAGGCCTGGGCTGCAGAGGCCGAGCAGCATTTGCCAGCACTTTCACACCCTTTGAGCCTGACTGCTCCCTGAGCCTGGAGGCTCCTGGATGTCCCTCCCTCCCTCCCTTCCTTCCCACAGCCTTCCTCCCTGCCTCATCCCCGGCAGGAGCTGCTGTTTTCCTGCCCTCTCCTCCCGCCCCGCTTCCCCGTTCCCACAGGAACAGGCCGTGCCCGGTCCCGCGGCGGAAGCGGGCCCGAGATAGTCACGGCAGGGCCACAATGTCTGCCTGACATCACCCCAGAGCCCTCCTTCAGGCTGGGCCGGGGCTTTGCTTGGCATTCCCACCCAGGGAGGGAATTCCCCATTCCCAGTGGGGCAGCTGCTCCCCATTTCCCTCAAACCCTGAGGCTGAGGCTGGGGCTGGGAAACACGATGGGAGTGTTGGAGGGTGGCATTGTGCACATTGTTGGTGGTTGTGGCCATGTCTGGCAGTTCTCAGGATGGCTCTGAAGGTTTAGCATGATGCATTGATTCTTCTTTTCCCTCTGAGAGATGGTGTGAGTCCTAAATACCCCAGGTTTGGGGCTTTGGTTTTGTTATGTTTAATAATGCTAGGGAGGAATGTCTTTACTGGGGTGATGTGCTGTGTGGAGGCTGAAGCAGAACTGGGGTGCAGGGGGTCCCAATCCCCTGTTTCTGGCTCACTGAGGAAGGGCGATGCCTATCCACCTCTGTCGTCATCCCCTCCACGGGTTAAAAATCCCTCCAGAGGCCACACAGGTGCAAGGAGCATCCTTCTATTTTATCACTCCCCCTCCTTGAGCCACAAGCCCGTGGCTGCCCCACAGCGCAGTCACTGCTGCATTTTGGGTGAATTTGTGCAAACCAACTCAACCTTTTTTGTTTTTTTGTTTCCCTCTCTTGCCACAGTTCTATCTGCAGGCCAGATTCACGTGGAAGGGAGCCCGGCTGCTCCGTCCCCTGCTGCAGTTCACCCTGATCATGATGGCCTTTTACACCGGGCTGTCCCGCGTCTCCGACCACAAGCACCACCCCACCGACGTGCTGGCAGGCTTTGCACAGGGAGCCCTGGTGGCTTACTGCGTGGTGAGTGGGGAAAATGGGCAGGAACGGTGCTGGGAAGGTCCTGGGGGAATAGCAGGGCCTTTGCAACCCACCAGTTCAGCTCAGGTGGTTCCCTGTTACAGCTGGAAGCTCCAAAGGCTTGGTCCAGGTAGCTCAGGACACTGAAAGATGTTCAGCCAAGGGAGGGTGTTTCCCTCTCCACCAGAAGCTTTGGCTGTTCTCAGTGGCGCTCAGCTGAACAATATTTCTTTTCCTTTCTCTTTACTGCTACACTGTTGTTTCTCTGAGGTGCTGCTCTCTGTGGAATTCACCCCCAGAGTGAGTGTTCTCTGTTAGGCTCACTAGCAAGGTTTTCCACCAGGAGCTGAGCAGAGAGTCTGGGGTGCTTGGCATTATGGCTCTTCCACACACAATCCTTCCAAAAACTGCTGTCTGCCTGACATGGGGAGGTGGCTGATGGATTTACAGGGGGCAGTAGGGCTCTTGAAAAAGTGGCCCACAAAAGCTGTGTCCAGTTCTCTTCAGCTGCTGGGCTGGTTCTTGTGCCACTTGCTCTCCAAAGGGTGACCTGATTGCGCAGCCCTTTAACTCATTGACACATGAAGATGTTTTAAGTTGCCAGGATGGGGAGGAACCAGGTGAGGCAACTGCCTCAGACAGACACAAAGGAGCTGGGGGCTGTGTTGGTTTCTGTGTCTCCCCAAAAGCAAGATTTTAACAGCTCGCCACTTTTTGTAGGGTTTTTGTTGGGTTTTTTTGTTTGTTGTTTTTTTTTGGTTTTTGGGTTTTTTTTACTGTTCTAAAAGTAAATCAGCCTTGGGAACAAGGAGTTAAGTCCACCAATATTACATTTTGCAGGGAGAGAAAATAGGTTATTTATGTACTTCCCACTCATTGATAATATTCCAAAGCCAGAACAAAAATGTCATTGTTGGGACATTTTCTTGGAGTATTATTAACTCTGTGAGCAGTAGCTGTTGGGTTTTGCCTTTGCCTGGTGCCCACATGCCATGCAGGGCTGGCAGATCCCGAGGGGAAGGTGGGAGAAGTCTTTGTGGTGGGAAGTGGGCTGTCAGGCACAGTGTGGCAGGGGAGTGGGGAGCAGGCAGTGCATCCCTGGGTCCCAGCAGTGGTTCCAGAAGGACAATAGCTCTCCGGATGGAGCTTGGGATGGGTGTCCGGATGCTTCCTGGCTGGGACAGAGAGCAGCAGGCCTGGCTGTCCCCTCCCAGCCCTCCGGCAGCTGGGAGCTGTGCTGGGAAGGGGAGGCTGTGGCAGGGCTGGGATAGTTTTCCTGTGTCATAGGAAGCAGCTGCCTGGAGTTTCCCAGGCAGGCTCGGGTTTGAGAGCCTGAGCTGCTCTCCCAGCCCACTGGTAAAAGGGGCAGTTGTGTCCAAATGCTTTGCAGGAATGGCTCAGTAACCTGGAACATCTCAGGCTTCAGCTTAGGACTCAGGGCAGGGTTTGAGCCCAGCCCTTGTCCCATTCCATCACCCTGTAGAGAACCATCTGTCCTCCAGAACCTGGCTTTGCTGGTGGGAATCTTTGCCTAGTAGGGCCTGGCAGATTTTCCTCCATTTTGGGAGGTTGCAGCAAGGGATAAGAGGAAGAGTCATCCCAAAACACCCTAGAGTTTGCACTGAAGGAGCAGTTTAGGAACTTTTTGCTGAAATTCTTGGTATGTCCTGGGGATTCTTGCCCAGCTCTCCTTCACAGGCTGCTCTGAAACAGAGGGAGGGACCTGGAGACTCCTCACCTCCCACCCTGGGTGCTCCCAGCCACCCCTTCCCCCACCAAAGCCTTCAGGGTCCACCCTGGTGATAGCCAAGAGCTGTGAAAACACCACAGTTATCAGGCCATAATTTTCAGTAGAAACCAATTGTGGATTTCATCTCCAAAGGCTGCCCGAGCTTAAACCCAGGTCGTGCTGCAGCAGACACGTTTGTCTTTCAGTGCCTGAAATAACAAGCAGAAGACATTAATGTCAAGCACTTCCAGCTGATGAAACATTCAGATGTGGAGCCAGGGTGAAATACAACGAGGATTTCTCAAATAGAAATAGTTTCTCTGCGCCTTGCAGGCAGCTTGCTGTGTGTTGTGTGGTTTATGTCCCATCTGAGGGAGAGGGAGAAGGGGAGATGTCAGGAGGACATGCTCCCAGGGTTGCTCTGGTTAGCTCAGAGGAGTTGTTTTAACCTCTCTGTATATGATTAAAAATTGCTTCAATAGGATGAAAAGTAATAGGAATTGTTAAGTGGGAATGTGAGATATTGGCTTAAAATGCTCTCAGTCTTCTCCCATCAAGTTTTCTTTATGGGTGGAGAGCACCTTCTACAGGAAATGGAGCTAATCCAAGTGAAAAACTTAGCACGTTTATTAGTCCTATTTTGTGTTAAACAGTTCAAGCATTAGGAGGATTTAACACACTTTTAACCCCCAAAGATCACATTTCATGATTCCTATAAATGTTTATATAACCTCCAGCCATGTTAAAGTGAAATACAGTTTAAAGAGAAACGAAACCCCTTAACCAGCCTTTCAATGAAACCTGAAAAGCAGCACAGTAAAAGCAAAAATACCCAGGATGACAGTTGACCATAACTCATTCCTGTCGAAAATAAGGACCAGACTCAAAGCACTCCCCAGATGCTTCTTGCACTCAGAAATCCCCTCCCATAAATTGATTTGTCATGGCTATCTTGGTGCAAAGTTGGACACCTTTTTGATTGAATCCAGCTCTCAGAGGTGGACAAATGAGCGAGTTGGCACCAGAAGTGCACCAAACCAGACAAATGGGGGGTTTGCAGTTATCAACAGCCCAAAAGAAAACCAGTGCCAGAGCAGTTCAATGTAGTTTTACACTGGGATGCTGCAGCAAGGGACCAGACTCCAGCTTGTGATCCTTGGGAGCATCAGCTGGATCCTGTTATTTACCCAAACATACAAAGGCTGCCACTTGGATGCCCTGTAAACAACTTTATCAGCTCTGTTACACAACCAAACAGCCAGCAACCAGCACATACATTGAGGAAAGAACTGTTTTGTACATCAGCTCCTTCTCTGCCTTCCCACAAAGCAGCACCAGCCTCCTTCATCCCTGGTTAGAGCTGTAGGAGTAAATTGCTGTGTGCAGCAGCTTTGCTCTCTGTCCAGCTTGAGCCTTATCTGCTCTGCTGATAGGGGCTTGCAAAAGTTGTTTGCAAGGACGACTTGACCTGCTTTTCAAGGCTCTGGGGGGTTAGAAAATGTGGAGATGCAGGTAGACCAAACCTTTGCTTTCTCCCTGTGTTACCCAGCCTGGAAGTCGTAATCTAATATTATTTCTTTAAACACCTTGGAATTATTTTCCCCCCTGATTTATCTGGGTGATTAAATGCTGCATTTGAGTGGTGTGGGAGAAAAAAAGCAAATGCACTGCTGATTGCTACAGCCTTGTGTTGCTCATCCTGGGATTTCAGCTGAGCAGACCCATGGCTTCTGTTGGGATTATTGGCGTTTAAGGCTTTCTGAGATGAGCTGTCAAACTTGGGCTGGCAGGGACAGTCAGTGGCAGGACAGAAGTTCAGGGCTGTGGCACCAGGTGACAAAATGATGAATCCTTGCCACTTCTAGCTCCATCCAGAAGATCTGTGCTGTCTGACTCTTTTCCCTTCTGTCACAGGACTGAGGTTTGGCAAGGGTGAAAGTGCCCCGGTCCTGGAGGACTGATAAGCTTCATGCTGCTGCCAAAGGAGGATGTGGAAGTTTCCTCCCAGCACTTTGTTTCTTATTGTGTTGCTGCCTTCCGAAATTGCCAGGCACTGGCTTTTTCACATCCGGGAGAGGGGTTACATCACGGGATATTTAGGAAGAAGGAGTCAAGAATAGATTCTCCTCTCCTTCGCCTTTGGCTTCCACCAGACCCCAGCTCTGTACTGGTGCCTTGGTGGGGCATGAGGAGCATGGCTCACCATTGACTCACTGCTGATAGCTTTTAACACAGTTTTAACTTGAAAGCTTTTAATTGCCTACCTGATGTCTGTCTGAATGAATTGTTTCACTGACTCCATCCCTGAAACCACTCAGGATGAGTCAGGCCAGCCCTTTGGAGACCTTTGTTATTTTATTGGAGTGCAGGCCGTGGATCTGTTTCCTGGCTTTTCAACCCGTTCAGCAGAGGTCTGGGTGTTGCACTTGGTGATGACGCAGTGAGAAATCAAGTTGTCCTCTCATGTTTTTACAGTTTTGTGAGGTCTGAGCCTTTTTCTCTGCTGTACAGAAAGGTGGTAGCAGGCACTTGGGATTTCACAGCTGTTACAGGCAGGCATTCAAAAAGTGCTTTTTTTGCAGCTTAAAGATGTGTATATATTCTGTAAACCAGCTTTTTGAACAAACCATCACCCACGGTGGCTAAGTTTGCCTTTTCCACTTATTCCTGCAGGTGTTTTACGTCTCAGATCTCTTCAAGCCCAAGACAAAGACTTGCCTGCCTCCACCTCCCATCCGGAAGGAGATCCTTTCACCTGTGGACATCATTGAGAGGAATAATCATCACAACATGGTGTAGAACTTCAAGGAATCAGATGGGTGTTGTATTTTAAACTTTTTTTTTTTTTTTAAAAAAAAGTGACTGCTGACAGCAACTACCTGCTGCTCTCAAATCTCATCAGACAGTAGAATGTAGGGAGAGACTTTCTTGCCCGACCAGTAAAGTCTTACTCTGTGGTCTTTTCAACTTGCGACATTTGGATGAAAGGGGTGGTGGTGGTCAACTAAGGCAAAGGTGACAATGAAAAAGGAGAAAAACAAAACCCACACTACACAAAAAGCCGAACAAACAAAGAGAGGTGCCGGAGTTCTGGATGTGCAATTGGTTTGAGTGTTCATGTTGTAGTGAACGCCAAATTGTTCCCAGCCCAGTGAACACTAAGGGATTTTTGGAAAGCTGGCCATCCTAGGTTTTTTTCTGACTATGAAGATTTCAATGCCTGCGAGAAAAAAACCAACTCACGACTAAATTGTATAGCACTACGTATGAGCAACAGCACTGAGTCAAGACCTGGGATTGGTTTGTAAGAGTTGCTTTTTTCTCTTCTTGATCCTAGTTTATTTTTGCCTCCTCTCTTCCATACTGTGACTTAATTTAGAAGAAGCTTGCCCAGTCCAAGGTCTCCAAAGGGTCTCTGCTCTCTCTGCTCACACTACACGCCTTTAACGAGCGGCCCGAGACGTGCAGTGAGGCCGGAGCTCTCCTTCCTCCGCATAGAGAAGCCACATTTCCTCCTCCCTGCTCGCTCCCTGCCGAGGGCTCATCCCACCCGAGCCTCCCTAAATGAAAAGAGCATCCTCCACTTCCCAGCCATCCCATTTCCCCCAGAGGAAAATCCCAGCAGGTTCCATGCACGGGAGCCGCGGGTTGCGCCGGGGGAGCGGCGGCTCTGCCGAAGACTCGTTCAGTTCGCACTACGACCCCGGGGCTGAGTCCTGGGGAAACTTTTATTCTGCAGTTTTGGGACGGGCTGCTGGGCGGCACGTCCCGGCCTGGGTGTCAGTCGGTTTGTGCATCCCCTCCTCTCCTCTTCATCCTCCTCCTCCTCCCTGGCCACCCCGGGGTGCGCCATGGCAGTACCAGGCCCTGTGCTCCGCTGGGTCACTCCGGTGGGAAATCAGCTGTGCCTCTCTCGGGTGTGATGATGGCATTTTTTTTTTTGCCCAGAAGCCACAGGTGCTTGGTTTGCAGCCCTTCCACGAAGCGCATTTGCAAAGGGATCCCGCAGAACACGCAGAACGGCCATTTGCACATCCTTCTCACAGAATCCGTCCTATCATTTCAACTTATAGCAAGCTATGATTTTTTTTATATTATAAATATTATATAAATAATGTATAAAACCTTAAAAATTAACTATGTAAAATATTATTTCTGAAACAATTTTAGATATATCCACTATGACTATAAACTGTGTCCTGACCTGTGTTATTTACATTTTGCTGCTTAAAAAAGCATTGAATTAATTTTTTTATAGTCGACTAAAATATTGTAGTTCTGTGGTAGTAATATTTTAATGAAAATAACTACAATTAGAGACATTTGTATAAAAAAAACATATTAAATTGTCTGTATTTTTGTAATGTTCCATTTTGTAAAGAGAAGAATATTCAAAGACTTTTGTAGAATACAAAATTGAAGTTTGTATCTGCGAAATTATTGCTGTATAAATGTGCTTTTTAAATAAAAGCTCATAACACAACTAAACATCCTGGTGCAAGATGCATTCTGTCTTTGGGTTGCCCTTTCCCTGATGGAAAAAGAGGGTCCTTGCCCAGTGGGACAGTTGGAAGTGTGATGTGGATGTTGGGTGGCATTTGGGGATGTGATGGTACAGGAGGGCAGCTGGATAAAAAGGACCAGATGCCATTTTTGATGGGAGGGATGAGAAAGTCCCACCAGCTCCTGGCTTGGGGGCACTTGTGGGTTTGCATGGATCTTCTCTTTTCAATGTCCAGTCTTAAAGCAAATATCATTTTATTTAAAGCACCCGTTTTACTTTAACAACCTTATGAGCTTTAAAGAAATGTTTTGGAAGTAAAATAAAATCTGAAGAGCCACAGCTCAGCTGCTGGTCTTCCTGGACAAACCCTGGCCTAGGAGGGCTCCCAGCTATGCTCTGCACCAACACCTTTCCCATGAAAAGCAGGCACTTGGCAGCTGAACCAAACTCTTGCAGCTTGCTGGGTTGCAAACGTAGATGGGAGGGGAAAGAAGAAAAAAGAAAAAAAATCTCACAACAACATGTGCTCAGAGAGGCACATGTGCTCAGCACACAGTTATGAGGCAGCCTGGATTTTTTATTACTGTTTTTATTTTTTTATTATTGTTTTTATTTTTTATTATTGTTATTTTCCTCCTCCTACAGAGGCAAATGAGCTTGTTGGTGGTGACACACGGTCAGAGCCGCGTTTCGACCACTCCTTGAGGGAACCACATCAGCGAGATAACACGGCACAGAAATAATATGCAAGAATGCATGACAGGAAGCAAATACCACATCAAACTGCAGAGAAAGAGCAGGTGGAAATTAAGCCAGCAGAACTGAGCTAGCACTTGCTATTATTATCCTAATTAGGAGTAAAATTTTATTACGCGTGGAAAAACTTCGTAAACCCGCACCTGTCCCAAATGCAAAGGGCGTTTTCATGGTGCCACGTGTGATCTGAGCCTGAGTGTTCGGAGGTTGAGTGTGTTGTAGAGGTGAGACTTCAGCTTCGGGGCAATGGATGTGAGGACAGGCTCTTAATCCCCAGTTTATCTCCCAAATGGAGCCTGGGTGTTAAGAGCCCCCCACGGGAGGAGGAAACGCTGCTCTGCCTGCCTGTGGAGCCCTCCCTGTGCAGAGCCAGCCCCAGTGCAGCAAGCACCAGGCTCAGGAAAGTGTTTGCTTGCATCTTAACCCCAGCTACTTGGAAAAAGGCAGGAATACAGATGTCTGGGGGAAAGAGGAGGGCTTGGAGAAGGGTCAGAGGGGAAGCGGAACAGGAGGTGATAAGAGCCCGGGTAGGGCAGCGGGGCTGGCGAGTCACGGGATCTCACTCAGGATGTGTGGGTCAGCCTGGAGACAGGGAGAAAAGGCCATGGATAAACCAACATGCTTGAACTCTATAATGTGGGGCTGAGCATCAGCAGTGCCAAGTCCTATTTGGGGATGGTTGAGCGATGGTTGTTTCCTCCTCTGCTTCCTGCTCGCCTCTCCCATGCAGTCCCATTCCATCCCATCCTGGGGAGGGTAAGGGCAGCTTTGCACAACTGGATGGAACTTTTCTGGGGCTCTCCCCTACTCACTGGGGACTAAGAAGTGATCATTCCTGGCAGCATGGGTGGAAAAAGGCAAGGTCCACGGAGATCTCTGGGCTAGCCAAGCACAGAGGAACATTCCAGTGCTACAGGAGGAAAAGGGACTAATTTTAAATGAGCATTTCAGTGAAACCCCACACAGAAGTGAAAGCCAAAGGAGCACAGTTGTCGGTACCGCAAACCATGAGTGCGGTGACAGGATGTATCTACAGCCACAGCTTCCTGAGGGGCAGGAAGGGAGAGAAAATAAATAGGTGAAATGGAAAAATACACAAACCCAAATCCACATGAGCACTGCCATCCTGAGGCCACCACTCTCTGCAGTGTCTGCAGGTGCAGCTGGAGCTTGCATTGCTGTGCTGCTTGGTCCTTCCTGCTGGGATGCTGAGCAGCCAGGACACTTTGGGGTTTGCTCCCTCTCTCTGCAGCTCTCCCAAGGAGACAGACAGTGCTCAAGCCCAGATGCACTCATGCAAACAAGACGTGTTGCTGGAGCCCGGGGCTGGGTGCTGGTTGTGGCCTTTAGTGCTGCAAACACCGCGCTCTGCTCATGCTGATGCTAATCAGGGGCTGCGGAGCACCCAGCTGTCTGCCTTTGATGCTGGCAGAGCCTCTCTGCACAAGGGGACGTTCTGGTCAAACCTGTCTTTTTTTGCACTGGGACCGGTTGAACACGTTTTCAAAGGCAGGGGTTGGTGTGTGCACCTGACTGCCATGGGAGCAGGTCTTTTGTTCCAGGGGAAGGGAGGTTTACGCAAGCCCCAGGTCCGGCCGTGTCTGGGTGCACCTAAACAGCTTCACTCAGCAAGAATGCCTTGGCAGCCTGCAGAGGCTGGAGCTGTTGTGCTTCTGCTCAATGATTTTCGGATATGAAGCTCTCAATCAAGGGAGGGGGAGGGAGGAGATTCGCCCCACAAGCAGAGACCTGTTTTTCTCATGCTCCAAGCCTGCCTTGTTTTGGGTGTCCGAAGGTTTCACCCAGCTCCTGGTAAAGCCGAAACCAACGCTTATCCATGCAGCCAGAGGATGTGTTGGGCTGAGGTCCTGCTGCACAGGAGGGCTGGTGTCAAGCCCACATCCATGGCTGGGGTGCAGCACCTCTGTCCCTTGAGCCAGCACCCCAGCTGAGCTGCATTTTCCCCCCCATCTTTGTCTTAACACACCCTTCATCCACTGTTCTCCTCTCAAAAGACAAGCGATTCCTCCCTTGTGTTTACCTTTTCCTCTGGACACCAGATCAGAGGTTCAGATTTTTAGGAATGAAGTGAATCACTTGCCTCCTGGCTTCTGTAAACATGGTCCATACACCTGCCCTCAGATAGGAGCTGCTGCCCATCTCCTCCAGACGCTCCTACCCTCGTTCCCTTGGTGCCAGGTGATGCTCTGGGCACAGCCCTGACTGCTTGCATTACCCAGCAAAACCGAACACAAGCTGTCACCTTCACTGGAGGAAGCACAAGGTAGAAAACACCTCCTGTTGACTCAGAGTGGGGGGAAAAAGACACACAAACAAACCCCAAAACCCAACAACTTTCAATTATCACCTTTGCACGCCACCCCCACTGGCACCAGCCGGTGCAGGAGTGCCTGCGTTAGCTTGTCTCGAGTTACAATTTCCTCGGGGCACAGACTACACCTATGTGTGTGTTTGGGTAATAATGATCCGACTGGTTGTGATGAATCCACGCCCCATCCTATCTGTAGCTAGAAGGGAGCGAAGTCCCCGGGATCATCTCCCAGTTTCCTTAGAAAGTCTTGTTCTGCGAGTTCCTGCCACCGTGACGGCACCTCGCAGGCAGCTCTGCTTTTAATATATAGTGCTGTGGCCTGGTGGAGCGTTTAATTCTTGTCTTGAACCTGGAAAATAACCATCTTGGCTTCTTTCTTTATTTATTTTTTATCCCAATTTCATATCAGGTCACTCTCAGCGCTGCGTTTTGGTGAAGTACCCGGTCATTCAGCGCTGGTGGCAAAAGGCTGAGGTGTCTGAAGGCATGAACTCTGCAGGGTTTGATCTTTGTGCAGAGGGTTCATAACCAGCAGGAACAATGGGCTGCTGTTGAAGAAAAACTCCTTTTAGTGTTTCCACGTGTCAGCAGAAAGCTGAGGAACAGAACCACCAAAACACCAAACTGTGTACGCAGGCATCCACGGATGGGATGAATGGGAATTGTGGCTGATTCAGCTCGCTCCTGAGGTCTTTGAAAAAGATTCAAAATATACCAAAACTTGAAATAAAATGTGACTTCTCTTTCCCACCTGAAAAATGAGTAAATTGAAACAAAGCCATCTGTGCATTTGTACAGGAACTGGTGTGAAAAGTTGGGCTTTCCCACCACGCTTTGACATCTCCATTTCCAGGTGTGTGGTGTGAGTGCATGTGAGCTGAGGTCAGCCTGAGATATAAATTAAATAAAGGAGCATTTAATTCTTGCTAGGCTGATCTTTCCCCTGGAGAAACACCATGAATGGAACAGAAAGAATGGTGCTGTTTCAATAAGGAACTCAGAAAGAAAATAAAATGCTAAAAAGAGAATAAAAACTCTTTTTATCCAAAGAAGAAAGG